ATGAGGCGGGGGAGAGGAAGGAGAGCGAATACGGGCTTTCCAGTACATTCCTTCGCAGCCAAGTTCTATTCCTTCGCAAAGCCACATGAAACAAGACACTCGCATGCTCCCCCCCTTCTCTTCGCAGCGCGGTACAACGCTACACTCCGGGTAGAGATGGAGAGCAAAAGCTTGGTGCAGGCCGCACAGGCCATTACTAACCGCAACGTCGGAAATCTGGTGGCGGCCATGGCGGCGGGATCAGCGCAAGTCGGCGACATCTCGATGTCGCACCTACGGACGGCCGAGGCCAAAGTGCTTGCCCGAGCGCTTGCCGAGACCTCGGGCCTGGTGGTCCTCCACGCCCAGTTCTGCTCAATTTCCGACAAAGTGCTGGCTATCCTCGCTCGAGGCGCACTGCAATCGCGTTCGCTGGAAGTGCTTGACCTGCACGGCAACCGGGTGACACCGCGTGGTGCGCGCGCGCTCGTCGCTGCCATCCACACCGCCGCATCACACGGCAGCCTCGGCAGCCTTGTTGACATCACGCTCACCAAGTGCCGAGGCATTAGCAAAGCGCTGGCTGGCGAAGTTACCTCGGCACTGGCGGGCGCATCCGCCACTGCCGCCGCTGCAACTGCTGCCGCCGCCCGCCTCCGCGACCAAGTCGAGGCTGGGATGCGGCTCCGGCTCGCACGTGAAGCGGCAGCAGGCGTGTGCGATACAGCGTCGACTACCACGACCACGAGCTCGACACCATCGCGACCGCTGGGATCGCTCTCCCACGATGAGCGGCAACAGCTGGTCGACGACGAGATCGCCGCCGCGAGCCTGACCGCGGTCGAGACGCGGGCACAAGCGGTGCCGGCGAGAGCGTACTCGCGCTTTGCCGCCAACATCGACTGCCTCGAGTTTGTCGACTGCGCCAAGCGCGAGGTCAACACCAAACAAATGCGAGCGGTCCGCCGCCGCAAGTACGGCCTGAGCGACGGCCGAAGCACTAAGCCGCGGATCCGCACCAAACTCCACCCGGTGGCCACCGCGCACGCCGACGCCGAGCTCCTTGACTCGGGCGTCTTTGACGACGCTGAGATCGGGATCCTCTCCCAGCTGGAAGCGTACGCCCTCGATGTGCTTGTCGACGATGCGGCGTACCAAATGTGCGGGCGGGCGCGCATGATGCCGGGCGCGACGCGGACCGTGCTCTGCCTCCACGGCTTTGGCGCGTCGTGCAACTACGCGACATGGGCGCGGCTCGCGCCGGACATTGCTGCCGCTGGTCGCAACATGATCTTTGCTGACCTGCCCGGCTTTGGCCGCTCGTCCGGGCGTGACATCCAGACCGGGACGTGGCGCCGGCATGCGCCGCAACTAGTCAAGGCGCTGGTCAACGCCTTTGGCATCACTTCAGGCGTCTCGTTTGTCGGTTTTTGCGGCGGCGCCGCGACGGCGTTCCGTGCTGTCGTCGCTTACCCGCGCCTCTTTGCCGGCGAGTTCCATCTCGCCCACAACTCAGTCATCGCCGCCGTCCCGGCTGATCTTGGCGCAACGCTTGCGGCCTCAGGCTCGCGGCTGGTGGTGACCTGGGCCGAGGACGAGGACCACACCCACGGGTGCGTGGCGTACAAGGCGTTTGCCAAGCTCCGCAAGGCCCGCGACCCGACCATCATCCTCGTCGACATTGCCGACAGCCATCTTCCGGCCTACGGCGCGTGGACGAGCTCAACAGAGCTCACCCGCGGAACGCACTCATCGTTTGTCTTTGCGCCATCCTCGACACTTCGCGCCCTCCTCCGCCATCTGCTGGCCGGCCACATGCCAACATCACTCCTGCGGTCTTTACCGCAGCCTTGAGCTCATTATGCCGGGCAGCAGCCCCACTTGCCGGTGGCACAGCAGACGGTGTTGATGGGGCAGCACCGCGAGGGATGCCCGTTGATGGCCGGACAGCACGACGACGTCGACGCCATGCAGCAGTACCCGTCGCAGCACGTCTCAAAGCTCTCGCAGCACGTCCCGTTGCAGCAATGCGATGACGACGCCGGGCAACAAACAGCCGCGCCCTTGTCCTTGGGGTCTGGGCAGCATGCCTCGTCGCCTGTGCACGTCCCGCCACCGCACGGCATACTCCCCGCCCAAGCCCCCGTCCCGCCTGCCCCCGCCGCCACCGCCGCCGCCGCCTTGCCTGCTCCTTCCGTCCCCTCGGCCGCCTCGGCCATCGGCGCCAGCACCGCCAGCACCGCCAGCGCCACCAACGCGCACAAAACCACAATGCCAGCACTCGCCATGCTGTCTTCTTGCTTGAGAGAGGTGTGTGGAGTCCGCCGTGTCCGTGTCCCCTTGCCCCTTGCCTGTCTCTGCCTGTGCCTGTGCCCGCACCATTCGCCCACTGATCAACGCCGTCCGATCGCGCCCTCTTTGCCACCGGTGGCTTTTTCCAGCCACAGCCGGCGCGCGCATGCCGACTCGCCTTGCCTGCCTGGCTTGCCTTGCCTGCCTGGCCTGCCGCTGAGGTCAAGTCCATAGCGCGTACAACCACACTCGACTAGACGACCTATCAGCACGTACGCTACCGACACACCTCCTTTATACCTCTCGGCATGGCGAGCTTCCTCAGACTACGTCCCCCGCTTCGCTGGATGCTGCACTAGCTGCCGCCCCTGCTAAAGGCCACCTGATCGTGATCAGTGGCAGGCGGCAGAAAAAAGCCGCACTTTCTCACCCTTTCACAACCTCGCTCCTCCCCTTCCTCCCCCCCCCCCCCTTCCCCCCTCCCCCCTCCCCCCCTCACACTCCCACACTCAGACCACGATGGCTGCTCGCAACACTCTGTTTACGCTCGCACGTGGAGCGTCACTCATGGCGCGGCAGGCTGCGCAGCCTGCGGCACGTGGCGCGGGCCCGCTGCCGTGGGGTGTCCAGTCGCACGGCTTTGTGGGCCACGGGACAACCCTTCCGTTCAAGGTCAACGGCGTGTCGAACGCGTCCATCGCCGTCAAGGTCATCGGCCTCGTTGCTCTGGGTGTCGGCCTCCCGCTCTACGGGGTTGCCCACTCGAACCGCAACAACTGAGTCCGGTGATAACGCCTCCGCTCGATGGACACGCTGCGATGGACGCGCGAGTTGCAGCAAACTGTAAAAGTGTGCCCGGCTCTCGATTAGACCTTTTTGCCTTGCTTGCTTGACCCCGCGCTAGCGTAGCGTTCACACCGCTCGTCCGAGCACGCGCCAGGGATGATGAGGTGGGGACCAGGCAAAGCGCGATAGGCTGGCGGCCCTCGAGCCGGCCGACAACATAGATAGCGTCATTGTGCGTCTCAAGCGCCTCGCAGTAAATGCATTCCAGCGGGCCGCTCGAGGCCTCGCCGGCGTTGTACAGCGGCAAGTACGACATCAGGACTCGCGCTCGTTACTTGTGGATGGTGTCGTAGACTTCGCAGAACCGCGCCCAGGTCTCGGCCCGCATTCCGCGCGGCGGCACTGATCGCGGCAAAGCCTGCCCGGTCGAGGCGCGGCTGCTAACCACCAAGTGCCGCGGCTTTTTGGCCGGCGGCTCGAGGCCGATCTCTGTGCCCATGGCCCGCTTCCGCTGCTCGCCCGACGGCGTCCACGGAGTGATCCGCTTGCGGGATGAGGCTGCTGCTGTCGGCGACGCTTCCGTCCGGGCGCACAGCCACTGCAGTGCTTGCTTCTTGCGCGAGGGGAGTGGAGGCGCGCAACTCTGCTGCTCGCTCGACGCAGTTGCCAGCGTGACTGCTGCTGCCGGCGCGGCCGCTTCCGCCCGCGCGAGCAGCCGTTGCAGTGCTTGCTCCTTGCGCGAAACGGGCGGAGGGATGGGTGCGGGCGCAGTGGCGGGCGGGAGCGACAACGACTCTAAGCTCCCGCTTTCGCTCGATTCTGAGCGCTCGGGCTGAGTGGGAGATTGGCGACGGTGGCGACGGCGGCGAACAAGGCGCGCGCCCTTCTTGGCAATCGAGACAAAGGCCGGCGAGGCAAATTGCGCCCGACGCGGTGGCGGCTTGTAGCTGATGAGGCCATCGAACGCGAGCAGAGAGGATGAAGGCGGCGAGCCATGCGCGACGCTGCGCGGCGGGATGAAGCCGGCGGTCATAGCCTCGACGACGGCCTGCGGGATGGGTGGCGGCGGACGGGAAGGCTGCGGCGGCGGAAGTACGTGGGCAAAAATAGTGCGCAGCGAGGTGTTGACGTGGCCGACGATGGGCATGATGTCTACCGGCGCGACGTGGGCGACAAAGGCCTCGAGCTCGGCGTACGACGAGTGGTCCGAGTAGGGGATGACGACCACGTTTTCGGGTGCAGAGGCTGCCGTGTACTCGGGAGGCGGATAGCACGAGGGCATGATGCCGACGACAGCATCGCCCATGGCCTTGATGTACGAACCAAAGCTCCACTTGGGCACGCCGAGGACGGCCGACGGACCAGGGCCAGTGTGTGGCGCGGGGTGAGGACGGCCGTCGTCACTCAGCGCGGCGTTGAGCCTATCGACTGTGTACGATATGGAGAATCCAGCATCATGGAGTGCGTTGAGCAGAGGCTGCTTGCCGAGGGTGTCGAGGGCGAGGACAATGCGCTTGCCACGATCGCGTGCGGCCTGAGCGGCAGCCACCACCTCGACCACAGCCTCGCCACGAGGCGGAAAGGCACCCGATGCAGGCGATGCGTAGGTATTGTCCAAAACGAGCAAATCCACACCACGGAGAGCGTCCCAAAGAGCAGAGCCTGCATATGCAGCGGCCAGAGCGGCGTCTGCCCGGACGTCGCCAGTGTAGAGGACGCGGCCAAAGTAGCCGTCAAAGAGGAACATGGCAGCGCCCTCGACATGATTGGCGTTGTAGACGGTGACGGCCATGGACTCCCCATGGGCCAGCGGAATGACATGCGTCTCGTTTTCGGTCAGGATCTCCACACGCGGACTGGCCAATCCGTACTTGGCCGCCAGCATGATGGCGCTCCGTTGGGTGGTATACAGCCTCCCGTGCTCCCACAGCGGCGCCAGGCCCACCGTGTGGTCGGCATGCATGTGCGAGAGAAAGTACAGGTACACCCCACGCATTCGCCGCCACACGTCCACAGCCACGGGCGTGCCCGGAATACGGTGGCCGTTCACCTGCATCGACGCCAAGTCCAAGACAAGTGTGAGTGTGTGTGGGGAGGGGTGCCTTCGTCCGGTTTGCGCGCGAACTGCGGCGCGCTTTTTCAAGTCGCCTGCCACCCCCCCCCTCCCCCCTTTCAATCCGCCTCCGGTCCGGTTACAATCACAATCACGATTATGATCACGATCACAATCGCAATCACAATCGCTACGCTCAACACTACGCTCAACGCTACGCTCAACACTACGCTCAACGCTACGCTCAACGCTACGCTCAAGCCTGCCTCACCTGATCCTTGACCTCGGCTGGCAAGACATGACCATCGCTCCATTCCCACCCCCCACCACCATCACCGCCACCATCACCACCATCACCATCATCACCACCACCACCAACCCCGATCTCCTCCTCCCAACCCCACACACACATCAGCCATACTACTCCCCTCCCCCCCCCTTCCCCCCCTCCCCCCCGCCAAACCACACCATCCGTCCATCTTCGCTCTCCTCCCCTCTCACTTCCCCCCCCCCTCCCTATCACCCGGTCATGGTCTCTGACACGACGTATGGATATCTTGCAGTTGCAGGGGCTGTGCTTGCCTTTGGCTCGACGGGGATGCCTGTCAAGACGCCTGGCGTGGTGGCTGCTGGTGTGCCTGGTGCCGTCTTCCAGCTCTACTACGCAGTAGCCATCTTCTCCTCCTGGCTCGTCCTCCTCTACAACGACTTTGTCTTTACCTGGTGGGGCGTTGCCGGCGCTGCGCTCTGGCTCCCGGCAAATCTGCTTGCTCTTGCTGCTATCGGCGATGTCGGCCTCACTGTCGGCTTCTCTGCTTGGTCCGGCGCCTCCATCTGCGTCTCCTTCTTCTGGGGTGCCTTTATCTTTGGCGATGATGTGGCCAACATGGGCCTCGCTCTCCTAGCTCTCGCCGTCCTTCTCCTCGGCCTCGCTGCCCTGGCCTGTGTACACTCGGAAGCTGCTCGGGCGCTACATGCCAAGCTCGGCTTTGCTGTCTCCGCGCCGATATCGACCTCGCCCAAGCCTCTCGGCGCTATCGCCGATGCCGCCACCGACGACCACGGGACGCTCCTGCCGGTTCTCCCGGCGCCTGTCCTCATCCCAACCGACGCCGATGCTGTGACAGCTACCGACGCCGATGCCAGCTCCGATCCGGCTGCCGCCGCTGAGGCCGGCGCCACTGCAGAGCCGATCATCGACGGCCCGTCCGAGCCGACCCTCCGCCAGCGCATTCGTGGTTTTGCCTACTGCCTCGGCGTCGGCCTGTTCAACGGCTCGATGATGGTCCCACTCCGCAAGACTCCATCCGAGGCCACCGGCATTGTGTACGTGATTTCGTTCTCGGTCGGCGTCGCTATCATCACCCCGATCTACTTTGCCATCTGGTCGCTCGCCACCCGTACCGTCCCTAACATCCACTTTCGTGTCGCAGTCGGCCCGGGCCTCGCCTCGGGCTGCCTCTGGTCCATCGGCAACTTTTGCGCCACTTATGCCACCCTCTACCTAGGCCTCACCATTGGCTTTCCGCTTGTCCAGCTTGCCCTCCTCGTCTCGGGCATCTGGGGCTGGCTCCTCTATCATGAGCTTCCGGATCGCCGCCGCGTCGTCCACTTTTGGGTCGCCGCCGTCGTCGTCCTTGGCGGCGGCGCGCTCCTTGCCATTGCCGGATGAGCCATGAAAGTCAGCGCCAGTGCTTGCATCCATGCCTCATATGACCCGACACCCGTACGTTTTCAGCACGCCCTCCGAAAACCAACAACATGGCCACCTGTACGCCTCAGCCACCTACCGCTCGGCATCTCGATGGACGTCAGAGAGAGCCCTAATGCGTTTAGGGAATATCAGTCATCCTCGAGTTCACTGCCCCCGCTCGTTCCGCCGTCAGCTTGGCCCTCGCCCTCACCCTCGCCCACTGCAGCATACCCGGTCGACATCCGCAGCACCTTCTCGGACCGCGGCACAAACGGCAGGATCGGGATGAGGATCGAGGTCCCAGCGCTGTACAGTGCTGCCGTAATAAGAAACGTGGTCCGATACGACGTCGCGTCGACCAAGTATCCGCCGATCACGGCCGAGCCCGTGAACGAGACTGCGCCGATGGCCTCAAACGTGTTCCACCGCCCGCGCATCTCCTTGCTCACCACGTCCATCACAATTGACCGGTCGAGCGGGACGCCCGCACGCGCGAACGCCACACGCACCACAAACAGCACCACAATGAGCCACAGCGGCTGGATGATCGAGAGCGTGACGAGGCAAGCAATGCCCGAAAACTTGAACGTGATTGACGTTTGCAGCCGCCCAAACCACTGCGAGATCCGCTGTGCACCCGTCGTGGACGCAATCGTGGCAAAGCACCCGGCAATGACCACCAGCGAGAGCCCGATCGGCGAGAGATGGTACTCGTTGGTGAGCCACAGCGAAAAGTACGCCACAGTCATCCCGGCACCCCACGCAAAGCACAGGTCCGTTGCTACGAGCAGAAACGGCACTGCACGTGGCGTGAGCAACCCAAAGCACGTTGTCCGCTGCCGCGCAGCTCCTGCCCTGGTCCCTTCCACCACACAGACCTCCGCATCGCCAGCGACGTCACCTCGTGTCGCAAGCAGCGCCAGCTCGGCCCCATCACTTGATACGTCACCCACAAGATCACCATCGTCGTCTTCTTCCTCCTCCTCCTGCTCCTCGCCGTCGAGCGGAACAGCGTCGAGACTAACAGCCTCAGAGTCGAGCCCGAGCGCCACATCGTCGGCGAAAAAGTACAAGCAAGCCGACGAGGCCAGGCCAAAGACCATGCCCAGGTACATGACCACCCGCATCGGCCCAGCCTCCCAATCGTTACCGAGCCCTGCAAAGAGGAGAACCGTCAGCAGTGGGCCCACAAACTCGGAGCCCTCCGAGATCGCATACTGCGCCGAGAAAATGCCCGACCGCCCGCCCGTCGGCACCGAGTCGGCAAATAGTGCCGAGAGCGGCGCCGACTGCAGGCCTTCAAACGCGCCCCAGAGCGCATTAAAGGCGTAGAAGAGCCAGATCTTGTCCGTCGCCACAGCCACCACCGTCACAAGCGTCGCCGCCACCCCGACTCCGCCGGCAATCCGCAGCAGCAGCTGCCGCGACACCTTGTCCGCAAAGTACCCGGCAGGCAGCGCCAGCGCGAGGTTGACCACTCCGTTGAGGCCCGAAATGAGCCCCACCGTCGAGTTGGATCCGCCCGAGAGCAAGTAGACGTAGATGGACATGACGTTGCGGAGCGAGAGCGAGCCGGTCACACGCCACAAGACCGTAAACAACAGATACAGTCGTACGTTGGGGTTCATCGCTCCCACCATCGCCCTCATTCCCGCCATCCGCCCCCGCATCCGACCCCACATCCCCACTCGGCCTGCCAGCACATCGCCACCTGCTCCGCCAGCGGCATCCATCGCTCGCCGCCGCCTGCTGTCCGCGCCGCCTCCTTGCACACGCTTTCCTCCGCTTCCTTCAGCCCAATCCCCGCCACTACTTGCGTCAGCCCTTGTCCACCTTGTGTGCAAGCTCGCGCGACTCGGTCTTGGCTCCTCCCTCTCCTATGCCTCGCTAACCGTGCTGCTGCCGACACCCGCTGCCGCCTCCTGCAAGACAAGTGAGAGCCAAATGGGCGGGTGCACGGCACAACCACTTCGCCAGCACGTCATCCTCTGTGTCAATCCCAGAGTTGACCAGAAACGATGACATTGTTTTTTTGTCGGGAGCTACTTCCTCCGCAACCCTCGTCAAGCCCAGCTCTCACAGATAAGCCACCCATTCATAACAACATCACCACCTCATCTGCATCCTCAACCTTTCCTTCCAGCCCAACATCCAAACCTGTTCGCCATCCCCTGTAGACACCTTCTCCACATATGCAGAAAGTCCAATCCTAGCGAGAAAAAATTTCTGTCCACATATTGCTCCACGCAATCTCCCGGCTCTCTGTCCCGCACCTCGAGGGCTTCCGCACCTCACCTCCCCCCTCACCCGCACCTCACTTGCTCCTCCCTCGCCATGCTCTCCGGACCAGACACTATGGTCCGCGGGCTTCGCAAGTGGGCAAAGAGCGTGCAGGACGGACTCTTTGCCGCCCTCTATGCCATGCACCAGGCCCGATCGCCACCACCGGCGTGGCGGGCCGCCGCAGTGTTCACCATTGATATGGCCCAGCTGATGGCCTTTGCCTTTCACGCTGCCTTTCCCATGGCGCACTCGCCGACGGAAGCGCTTGCCTCATCAGTCCATCCCGATGTCGACGATCTCTCCATAGTCTCACTCGCCTTGGTCCTCCTCTCGCGACCGATGTTCCTCGCTCTCGGCGGTGTTGTGGTCGTCTTCCTCCTCGCTGTCTTTGGCAATCTTCTAGCTGTCATGCACGCCTTCTCCACTGGACGCGGCGCCCAGCTCACCTGGCCCATCACCACCCTCAACATATTTGTCATGCCCACCCTCACCATCTTCTACATTCCCATCATTCAGCTGCTTCTCATTCCGCTCGCATGCGTCGCCACCGAGGGCCCCGACGCCGCCCATTCGTACGGCTGGCTCCTCGATCCCGACACAAAGTGCTACACCGGGTGGGGGCTCGGCCTGGCCGTCTCCGCCGCCACCATTCTTGTTGCCCTGCTTGCTATGGCCCTGCCTATGGCCCTTGTCTACTTTGATCCGCGGCCGCACTCACCCGACGTCTTTGCCCGCCCGCTCGGCCGCTGCTCCCTCCTCCTCCTCACCGCAAAGTCGATCATCGCCGCCACCTTTCGCATCCCACCGCCCGACTCGCTCGCTGAGATCAAGGCTACAATCATCGTTGTTGTCTTTGCCTTTCTCCTCTACTTTCACCTCACTCGCCTGCCATACTACTCGGCCACAACCAACACTGCCGTCGGTGCCGCCTACGGTGCGCTTCTCGGTGCTGCCGTTGGTGCCGCCATCGCCGTTGTCAATGCCTCACGCACCGCGTCATGGCCCATCTACCTCATCCCGTCCTCCGCCCTCGCTCTTGCCCTGGCTGCCGCTGCCCTCGTCCGCCTCCGCCTCTCTCGCCTGGAAGCCAGCATCTGTCGTCGCCTCGATCGTCTCCCAGAGTGGGTACAGGCCCTCCAGGCCAGCGCCACAACCGTTCCTCTTAGTGACACGGTCTTCTCACTTCCGCATGCAACTCAAATTGATCCGCTAAGTGGCGACACCGCCGCTGCCGCAGAGGCTGCTCGTCTCGGTGCCGCCCTCCGCCGGTCGTTTCTCTCCTCGCCGCGCGCTGTCGAGCGTGCTGTGCGTATTTACCTCAGCGCTCGCGTGCGAGCTGCCCATGCCTCGGATGCTGCCTCGGATCCAGATGATCCGCTTGCCTCGCTCCATGCCCTTGCCAAGGTATACGACCACCATGCGGCGGCGCTCTTTGAGCTTGGCACCGAGCTGTATCCGCAATCGACCGTCGTCCGCGTCACCTACGCACTCTACACCACCGCCTTTTCGCCCCAGGCCGCCGCCGCCGCCCTCACTGCCGCCCGTGCCACCAAGAGCATGACTTCGTCACTCGATGCCCGCTACGCCGTCTACGCCTTTGAACGCTCGCTTCTCAACGAGGCCCGCGGCGGTGGTGCTGTCCACGGCGGACTGGACGTCGCCTCGTTTGTCGAGTTTGAGGAGCACTTTAACGTCGCCTCTATCGCTCATCGCCACGCCCTCTCGCTTACCCATCGCCTCTGGGTCCTCATCCAGGACGCTGACGTCGACGCCGACGCCTTTTCTGACCTCGTATCGGCCCTCACTGCCGCCAGGGCCGCCGCCAAAGCCGCCTACGCCCAGCTTCTCACCCGCTTCTCGTACTCGTATGATCTTCTGAATATCTACGCCGACTTTGTCGAGCACTTTGATCGCAACTATGAGGTGGCCGACGCCTTCCGCGCTCGTGCAGAGTCATACGCAGCTGCAGCCGCCAACGATAAGGCCGGCCGCTCTGTCGCAGAGGCCTCGGCCTCGTGTCGGTCCGCCTCTCTCAGTTCAGAGGGTGTGCCCAGCGCGAGTCACTCCCGCCGCGGCTCAGTTTCATCGCTCCCAGGCTCCTCGCGGATGCGGCAAAGCTACCACGCGGTCATTGATCGCAAGATTTCGCGGGCCTCAGTCGCTCTCAACGGTGGTCGCGCGTCCAAGTTCCAACGCTTGGTCATCGGCTCGCCAACGCGAGACTCGACACCGCCACGAGGCACTTCATCTCACCGCATTATCCACGCTCGCACCTCTTCCCGCACCCGTCACCGCGCCTCTGCCAGCGTTTCGACCAGCGGCCACCATCCCATCAGGAGCAGCTCCTCGTCGGCGTCCGGCGTTTCCAAATTGTCGCCTTCTAGTGCCACCTCTGATACCGAAGCACGACGCCGGAGGCGGCCTCCCGGCTCCCGCCGCTCGCTACCGTCATCGCCGCCGTCCGTGCGGCCCCGACCGGCGTCTGCCTCGCCGCATCGGGCAGAAGCTGGTGTCTCGTCCGTCACTCGCCAGACACTGGTGGCAACATCCTGGACTGAGTCGTCTGCCCCGTCGATCGTCGACCGCACCAACGCCAGTTTGTCCGAGAGCAGCTCTCGGGTTCCCCAGTCCACCGGCCGCCGACCGCGCGCTGCCCTTTTCTCCCGCAATAGCTTGTCTTCGCTCCGCAGCTCCGACTCGGGATCGCAAAGTGGGATTTCGTCGCCCATTTCGTCGGGCATTGCCCATCAGACCCTGCGCCGGTATCGGGCTGCCCGGCAACGCGCGCTCTCTGCCAAGTCACGCGCTGTGCTCCGCCTCCGCTGGTCGCTCCGCGTCGCATCGGCCGTTCTTGGCCTGCTCTTTGTCATCGGCTTTGCTTTTCTTATTGCGCAGTACAAGGACTTTGACGAAAAGCTCCGTATGATGAACACGTACGGTCGCATGCGCAAGCTCTCGCTCTCGATGGATCTCCATACAACACATGTTCAGCAAGATTTCGCCTCGCGGATCGACCGTGACCATGCCGCCGAGCATGCTGGTGTCCTCGCCACCCTCGCGGACACGCTTAGCGACCATATGTCCCGAATGTACCGCAAAACGTATGGCTCGGCACGACTTTCATCGCCTCAACTGGACGCCCTCTGGCGCTCACCGTACATCCCGGTCATTTACGCCGTGCACAAACCGACTTCTGGCACCGTCGTCCGTACCACGCGACAGCGATCTCTCTGGGACGCCGGTGCCGAGCTGATTGCATCTGTTCGCTCTGTGGCCTCCCGCCCCCTGGCCCCCTGGCCTATCTCCGTGTCGAACATCGACTCGGACGTCCTTTTTGTTCGTGACAACATCCGCGGCTTTGGTGGTACTGGTGAGCTTGGTGCCGCCTTTGGTCGCGGCGGCGCTCTGTTTGTGGCCAGCATCCGCGCCGCTGTTAACTCGCTTCGCACAACACAGCTCGTGGTGTGCATTGCCTCTGTAGTCACCGTCATCATTATTGGTGGTGCTGTGCTCTACCCGTCGCATCGAGCACTGCGTTACGAGCAACGAGAGTCGTTCCGTCTCTTCTCCACCATCCCACCAGCCATCGCCGCCGAGGTCTCGAACGAGTTCTCGACAGCGCTTGCTGACTTTGATCAACGCCACGCCCAGCTCTCAGACACCAACGGCCCCACTGACGGTCTTGACGCCGGCATGCTGAGCATTCATATCGACGCGGATGTGTCTTCCTGCGACTCGACCATCGACGGCAACGGCTCGGACACCGGCGGAGCAGGCTCGGGCGGAACAGTCCTGTCAAGCTCACACAACGCCGCAGCCGCGCGGAGTCGACTGCGCCACGCCGGCATCACTTCGGGCGGTCGCCTTTCCATACTCCATCGAGTCTTCTACCGAATCACTGGTGCATTGGTGGTTCTGGCAACATTGTCGTTAGCGTTTCTTGTTGTAGGCTTGATCTACGCCTCTTCGGTCCGCTCGCACGGGTCCACTATCAACAAGGCTGGCATCCGCCGGTACCACGCCGCTGCCATTCATTTCAGCGCCTACCAACTCAGCATCCACGCGCAACGTGCTCTTGGTATCAACCCACTCAAGACATCCATCTCCGTCCCCGACATCGAGAGCGTCCGAGGTGCACTCGTCGAATCAGCCAATGCTCTCTGGGACGCGCACATGTTTGTCAAGTACGGCAACGCTGCAGCGGCCGGTACCGATGGCCAGTTTCCCGCCCTTGACAATCTGATGTACGCTCGCGGCCTCGACACCTTGCTTGCAGGCTATGTTAGTCAGGCCCATGCGCTTCACACGCTCTCGGCCAACCTCACCTCAACCAATGCCTCGCTGGTTGTCCACGACGTCGCGGACGAGCTTGCTGCGCTTGAAGATAGCCAGCTTAATGCCCTGCTGGAAGAAGCTGTCACCATCATCGGCGATGCATATGCTGCCGAGTTGCACGTTGTCCGCATCATTGCCGTCGCCATCATTGTGAGCCAGCTTGTCTTTCTGGGCTTGGTCTACGCGGTTGTATTTGCGCGGCTAGTGGCGTCGATCACTGATGAGGCACAGCGCTCGCGCTCGCTCATCTTTATCATCCGGCCAGAGATCATTCAGCTCCTTCCACAGCTTGCACACTTTATCGAGACGGGCGAGTTTATCGAGCTGGAAGCCCTGGAGCGGAGTCTGAATGCACCAGGCCTTGTCCGCCGCTGTGTGCTTGAGGTCTCGGCCAACTCGCGTACAATCGTGGGCATGGACGGCGATGTCTCGTTCTTTGGTATTCCGCCGCGCTCGCTGCTTCGCCTTCCTATCTCCGACTGCGTGCCGAAGCTCGCAGAAGCCGCCAAGGCTCAACCAGCCAGTATAGACCCACTGCTGCGCCACATGCAGCTTCCGCCGCGCAAGGTGGCCATCACGCCGTTTGCCTCGGCCAACTCCTCGTCCGATGCGCGGTTGACGGCGTTCGTCTGGGTCACGCACTACCGGCCGACGCCGTCGCGCGGCCAGTTTGGATTGTCGCTGATAGAGGTGCAGCCGTCAACAAGCACGCACCGGGGCTTTACACGCCGCGCGTTGCGGAAAGTGGCGCCGTCACCGTCGCCTGGCAACTCCAATATCCGGCTCGACAACCCGCACAGCACCTTTGCCATCGGCTTTGTCCCGCATCTTGTTGATGGTGATGTGCACATGGTGCCTGCCGGCGCCACATCGGAGGCCTCTGGACGCTACCGGCTCACGTTTTTCTTCCGCGATCTAACTTCTGGCCTCCGCCACACTGCGGACAGCGTCGTCATTCCTCCAACGCCCCTGCAAACGCTCGGCCCGTTCGAGACCGAGCTAGTTGAGAAGCGTGCTGCTGTCTGCAGCCATCTTGGAACGCAACTGGGCAAGATCCATGCCCATCTCGTAGTCCATCCACTCAGTGGATTAGTGGTCGACGCTGAGGTCGATCCGGTCGCAGCTGCCTGGCTGGATGCGGATCTCTTGAACCAGCTGAGTATGTCGTCGCTTGTGCCCGGACTCGATGTGCACGCCCTCGTCTCCTCGCCGTCCCCGATCGAAGCTGTTGTCTATCCGCCAGGCGCTGTCCGGACCGCCCTTGTGGCCAGTATGGCCGCCGAGTCTATCACCATAGCGGAGAATCGCTCAGACGTCCTTGTCGTGGTCGCCGTTCGCTTTCCGCTTGCTGCCGCTCCCGTGGAAGTCCGCGAGCTTGCCACAAGTCGCGAAGCGGGTGTCATCGTCTTTGCCACCTCTGGCCGAGCCCATGGCATCGCGGCACCACTGGCTGCCGTTGGCACCTCGCTCCTTCTCCTCGATGTGTCGTTTGATGAGCTTGTGGCCCGGCCGGAACATGCTCTGGGCCCATCGCTTCCAACTTGGCTTGCAGAGCCACCGCCACCACCGCTCGACTTCGGCGAACGGCTGACCGGCTCGATCATTCGATTTGATACCATGGCAGTGGTTCTGTTTGCGGCACGGCCATCAGCAGTCACCTTTGTTTCGAACGCGCAGCTCGCTTGTCACGAGCTATCGTCGTCCAACGACACGCCGTCGACTGCCTCAGCCGACTCGGCGCCCGCGATTATGAGCGCATCCGTCCAGACCGAGCTCTACACTTCCGCCGTCATGCAGCCCATCGCGGCTGACGCTGTAGTTGTGCCCCCACACAATCGCGCACCCAGTCTCGCTCGTCTGACTCGAGCAACTCGTCGTCCTCATCGCTCTGCTCCGACTCGGACTCATCGCCGTCCTCATCGTCATCGACATCATTCTCCTCGCAGATTGTGTCTCCACCTGCTACTGCCATTCCCATCCGCACCCTCTAGCAAGAGCATCGCCAAAGTCGTAGCCATCGTCCCCAAGCCCATCCCCCATCCCAGAACACACGTCCAGTCACCACCACCGAATCGCCTGTCCCACCGCACCACCACCACCGCACCACCACCACCGCAACACCACCACCATCATCACGTTCCGACCACACACCACACAAACACACAAACACAAACACACACGCCACTACCTCCTCACCCCCACCCCACCCCCGCCCCCTCGCACACACACACGCATACACACACCTCCCTCCCCTCCCCTCCCATCGCCGACATGTCTGCCAAACATTCAAAAGTTTCGGCTGGCGCCAACACGCCGCCGCGACGCAGGAGGTCACGCCAGGGCCAGAAAGCCCAGTCGACACGCCCAGATAAGGTCACGTCCAAGAGCAGGAGCAAGAGCAAGAACAAGAGCAAGAGCAAGAGCAAGAGCAAGAGCAAGTCAAAGCCAAAGTCAAAGTCAAAGTCGAAGCGGAAGAGCAAGGGCTCGACCACGGAAGCGACATCGTCCCGCAAGCGGAGGAGCAAAGCCAATACTTACTTGGCGGAATCGGCTTCGACATCGAGCTCGGCCTCAGGGGTATCAGTATCATCATCGGGGGCATCGCTTCCGTCCTCGCTGAGCGCAGGCTCGAGCTCGAGCTTTCCTACTGCTGCAGTGCCGGATCGGCTGGCACGGTCGATGCCTGACGTGGCGGGAACGACTGGTGTGGGTGGCCTCTCTGCTAATCGGGAGAATCTGGTACGGCAGCTACATCATCTGGAAAACCGCGAGTACTGGACGGCGGCACGGGCCGAGGCCCAGCCGCAGCTGAAGGAGCTGGCCTCGCTGGAGCTGCTCTCGAATCTGCGGCTGTCGGCATCGCGGATGGCGACCTGTCTCGGGGCGTCCTCGCTGAGCGTCTCGCGGTCGTCCAAGCAGAAGATCCTTGCTCTCTGGGTCTATCTCACTGCACCGCTCTGGGCGTGGGTCCTCCTCATTCCGGTCGTCTTTCCGGTTGTACACCGCTACTACGAACGGCACGTGGCGCTGGCGTCGACAACGTCGACGGCGGCGCTGGTCTCGTCATCAGCGCGGACGTGGATTGCGTATGCCGCGGCGCTGGTCATGGTTCCGCTCTCTACTGCTGCGGGCATCTCACTGTACATTTTGGTCTCACACTGGTCCCAGCTCGAGCTTTCGTTGGCGGAGCGGATGGCACCCCTGCTGGGATACACGCTGGTGTATCTACTTGCGCTCGGCCTCCTGTTCACCAAACTCTCGCTGCTCAATGAGCAGTATCAGCTCGACCGGCTGCGTGCGCTTCTTGACCGTGCGTCTGTGGGCGTTGGCTCGGTGGACGCGGTCGCGACTTCGGGCCACGGCTCGCTCTCGCATCGCGACATGGAGGCGCTGCTGGCAACGTACGAGTTTGACGGAACTGACGGTGATCTGGTCTCGCTGCTCTCGGAGCAGCAAGAGCAAGCTCGCGGACATGTGTGGGTGAGCGCATCAGGCGCGTGGACAGAGCAGCAAGAGTCGGAGTCGATGTCGGGTATGTATCTCTATGAGTACGTTTCTGACTACGAGTCGACAGCACGGTCGTCAGCGTCAGAGTTCCTGGACGATCTGTCGTCGTCGAGTACCACAGACATGGAAGCCGGGCCGCGACGGCCTGCGCCGCTGCTGAAGGCGCGCGAGCAAGACGACGCGATCATTGATCGCATGATGGCACTGTTTGCCAGCGCGGCGTCATCGTGGCGGCGGATTCTGTGCTACGTGGCGCTGGCACTGTCTATCTCGGCGGTGCAGGCTCTGCTTGGCCCAGTGTATCGGTCCGCGTCTGCATCGGGCGGTTTTTCGCTCTCATCGCTGTGGCGGTCACATGCCTTTGCGCTGGATGCGGCGTGGTATGAGAGCGGCGCGCGAATTCTTGCGCTGTACGCGCTGTTTGTGACGACACTCTCGGTGGTGCTGCTTCTGTTCAAGGCGCTGGCGGAGCTGCGGTTTGTGGAGGGTCACTTGCGAGCGCTGCATGAGGCGTCGACGCGTAAGACGTCGCTGGTGGCGCGTGCTTCGGGCAAGCGCAAGCCGTACGTACTGACCATCGAGAACCAGTACATGCTGTATTTGTGGGCCGAGCTGCGGACTCGGATCCGTGCGCGGATGGAGGTGGCCAATCGTGAGGCCGGGCCTGTGGCGGCGATGGCGCTGGCAGGCGTCATCACGCTCACGCTCTTTGTCATTGTGCGCATCGTGACGCTGCCGCACGACGGTGCGTTCTTTGACGCGCTCGGTGTGTACACCCTCTTCAACATGGTAGTCCTCCTCCTCTTCCTCTACGCCATCGTCTCGGCCGGAATCAGCATTGCCTCGTACCGAACCAAGCAGCAGTTCTTCCTCACCACCCAGAAGCACAAGCTCCGCAAGCAGCTCTCTGCAGCGGTGGAGGCTTCATCACAGGCTGCGACCAAGCAAGCGCTGATGCAGGCGCTCGACGCTCAAATCCTCGAGGTTGCCGACCAGCCCGCACCGTCGATCCTCTCCATCGCGCTCACCGCACAACTCCGTAACCGTATTCTCGGCGTTGCTGCCACTGCCCTTGTTGGAGCACTCGTCCGATTCATCGAGGTGTAAAGCCGTCCGTGAGTGATATGGAATGAGTCCAAGCAAGTGGCGCGAGCAGGTGAGCGGTGAGCGGTGAGTGGCGGGGTGGCGGCAAGACCTGTCACCGGACGCCGACCATGTCCGCGCCCAACCCAGCAGCAGCAGCAGCAGCAGCAGCAACAACAACAACACCAACAACAGCAGCAGCGAGGAGAGAGGAGACAGCGCCTGCAACGGGGGCCGACAAGAGCGAGCTCGCCATGTTCTTCTTCAACTCGGGCGAGTACGAGTCGGCCGAGGTGGCTCTTGGCGAGGTGGCTGCGGGAGCGAGTACTGCTGCTGCCGAAGCGAGCACGGCCGAAGAGAAGCAGGCGGCTGCGGCCAAGGCTGCCAAGGCCCACCACATGCGTGCACTTGCTCTGCATCGTCTCAAGCGGCCCGAAGACGCCATCGATGCCTTTGATTGTGCTTTGGATCTGCTGCCGGATGGCCATGAAGCTGCTGCCGATGGCCACGCTGCTGGCGATGATGCCATCGCCGCTGTGGCTCTGCCGCGCCTTGATGCCCGTCTGGCCCGGGCGAGTGTACTGCTGGATCTTGGGAGGGCTGCCGAGGCCGAGACCGAGGCGACGGCCGTGACCGAGGCGGTGGAGAGCGCGTTTGGCCCCGCCGATGAGAAGACAATTGCGGCGAGGACGACGGTGCTGAGGGCGCAGCGGGCCAAGGGCGAAGTTGAGGCCGCGGTGGACGGGCTTGGCGCGCTGATGCAGGCGGCGGCCGGAGCGCTCGGTCCGCGACATCCGCAGACCTCGATTATCTGGATTGAGTGGCTTGAGGCCATGCACGCGGCCGGTGGCCACCCCGACGTCCTCCAGGCGTTCAACGAGTTCATGGCCGTCGCCGAGGCGGTGCTGGGCAAGACCGACTCACGGCTGGTCGACACCCGGCTGCGAGTCAGCCAGTCGATGGTTGCGCTCGGCTTCCACCACGAGGCTGTCGATGTGCTCAAGGCTGCTGTTCGCATCCGCCGCGAGGTGCTCGGTAACAGCGATCCGCTAACCACTGCTGCTGCCGCCGCCCTCTCTGCGCTGCGTGCCGACATTCGTGCCGCCGCCGACGCCGCACCGCCGCCAGACGACGCCGACTTTCTCCCCGACCATCTCCGCGGCGGGCCAAGGCCAGCGGAGGCAAGAGAAAGAAGGCCGGTAAGAGCAAGAACAACAACAAGAACAAGAAGAAGGGTGGTAAGAAGCGCAAGTGATGTCCTTATGCCTATCTGCCTACCCCCTGCCAACTCCTACACCATTGTGATCGGTACACCTGCTATGACCAGGATCCCCGTCATGATCCGTACACCCGTCACGCCAGGCCACGCCACGCCCATCATCATGCCCACGGCTACCACCACAACCACCACTACAACCACGCCATCATCCCCCTAAAATCATCATCTCACCCACGATTTCTCTCATACTCCCATCACTATCACCATCATCATCATGGTCATCACCCCCATCATCATCATCATCATCATCATCATCATCATCATGGTCATCACCCCCCATCATCATCATCGTCATCATCATGGTCATCATCATGGTCACCATCATCATCATCGTCACCATCATCATCATCGTCATCACCCCCATCATCATCATCAGTCACCATCGCCCGCTCCCCGCTCTCCCTGTCTCCTCCGTCAACTCTCTGACGTCAGAGCCGCCTCTGCCCACCCACCCCACCCCCACACACCCCCCACCCCCACCACCACCACCACCACCACTACCACTACCACTACCACCCAACTCACACTCACACAACCCTCCCAATGCGGATCTCTCTCACTGCTGCTGTGGCACTGATGGCCCTGCTCGGAGTGCTGGCAGTGCTGGTGGTGCCGGCTGCCGGACGAGGCAAGGTCCGCCGGCTGCGGTACGCCGGCCTGCCTGCCGAGCATGTATGTGGGGTGTGCAGGGCGACAGGACGGGCTATCGACGACATGGTCAATGCTGTCCATCCTACGTCGACGGTCATGCATGGATCGCGGACAAACGCAGACGGATCGTACAAGTATGTCCGCTATCAGCGATCAGAGTCGCGGGTGTACGAGATCTTGGAGGAGGTCTGCTCAGAGTCGTTCAAGGGCGCTGATGCGGTGGCCACAAACGACGACGGATCGTTGGACTATGTCAATGTCGGTGCTGGTGGCTCCTTCTCCAATGTTCAGATGGGCGTGTTTGAGAAGGACGGTCCGCTTCATGCCTGCCATCGCATCGTCGAGGCCTACGAGGACGAGCTCTTTGACTACATCCATGACTCGTACGATACTGTCCTTGACATCCCGCTCATGCTCTGTGATGAGTGGGCTCAGGTGTGCAACGACTTCCCACTCCCGTCCGCCGGATCTGCTTCGGAGACGGCTCCTGCGCCAGCCGATCACACCGATCTGTAGCCCCCTCTACGCACCACGCACAATATACACCCACCCAAACAAGCATGAGCTCGCTCAGTTAACTCGGCATGTTACTTCACGTGTGGTAGAGCACACGGAGAGCATGGTTTCCTCCTCGTCCTCTTCGAGCTTGAGCAGCATGGCGTAGATCTCGCGGGTGGTACACACCAGGATACTGTTCGCGTCCTCAGTTAACTCGGCACGTACTTCTTACACGCGGTAGACCTCGTGCTCGGAGAGCATGATCTTCTCCTCCTCCTCGAGCTCGAGAAGCATGGCGTAGATTTCGCGGGTGCTGTAGGCCGCACCGTCGGCGTTAACGGCGGTGCGGACGGCGTCGAGGGTGACAGCCTCCTCGCTGGTGCGCGACTTGAAGAGCCGGAAGAGGGCACGACGGAACTCGTTGACACGCGCGTCGTCGATGTCGTCGACATAGTTCTTGACGACGTCGCCGGCGGCGATGAGCGTGTCAAACGAGGCGTTGGCGTCGATGGTGTCGGCACGGGACGAGCTTGCGGCGGCCTTCTTGGTGGCCTTGCGCGGCGAGGAGCGGACCGCCGTGTTCGCGACCTTGGACTTGGACTTGAGCGGCGACGGAACAGCCATAGCCTTGCGCGGCGAGGCGCGGACCTTGCGCGGCGACGAGCGGGTGGTGCGCTTGGAGGCCGAGGAGGCGTCGTCGTCGCGGAAGGCAAACTCGTCGTCGTCGTCTCCGCCGGCGACGGCGGCACCGGCCTCGTCGTAGGTACCCTCGTAGTCTCCAGGGCCTGCGCCGTTGTCGTCGTCATCATCATCGTCCGAGCCCAGATCAATGTCCGAGTCGTCGTCCGAGTCTGCGGGCGGGGCGCGCGGCCGGGTCGGCTTGACCACTGACGCGTCCTTGTAGAGCGCAAAGTTGAGGAGCTCGAGGGCGGCGACGACGTCGTCCTGCTCGACCTCGTTGGAGAGGCGGGCCTTGGCGTGGGCGCACGAGAGGCGGATGATGGTCTCGAGCGTACGGGCAGTCACCGGTAGCGTCTTGTTATCCTCCTTGGAGCGGAGCTCCGAGTAGGCCTTGGAGATAAAGTCAACGACCTCACGGCGGAGCGAGGGCTGGATGCGCGACTTGGCGTAGTGGATGTACTTCTTGAGAAAGGCGACTGAGTAGAGCGACTGCGGGCCGCGGTCGGCATGCAGGTGCTGGTCGTACTTTTCATACATCTCGGTGGTGGTGTCGGCGCCGGCGTGGGCTTCGTCTTCGACGTCCTCCTCCACAACGGTTTCGTTGGGTTCGAGCCGTAGGCGAGGGCGCCCGACGCGTGCGGGTCACGGTAGCGATGCGAGCGGAGGACGTGGACGGCAATGTCGCGATCGCGCTGCGGGTCGCGGGTGTCGAGGACAATGAAGAGCAGGTCAAAACGCGAGAGGAGCGAGTCCGGCAGGTTAATGTTGCGCTGCGGGGAGATCGAGGTGTTGTACTGGCCGTAGATGGGGTTGGCGGCAGCAAGGACCGAGCAGCGGGCGTTGAGCGAGGTGTGAATGCCAGCCTTGGCGATGGTCACCGTCTGCTGCTCCATGACTTCGTGGATGGCGACGCGGTCCATGTCGGACATCTTGTCAAACTCGTCGATGCACACGATGCCGCGATCGGCGAGGACCATGGCGCCGGCCTCCAGCCGCCGCTCGCCCGACTCCGAGTCGGTCGTGACAGCGGCCGTGAGTCCCACGCCTGATGAGCCGCGGCCCGTGGTCGAGATGGCGAGCGGTGCAATGGTCATGGCAAAGCGGAGGAGCTGCGACTTGGCCGTCGACGGGTCGCCCACCATGAGGATGTTGATGTCGCCCCGGATGTGCGTGCCGGACTCCAAGTTGTGCTCCACGCCGCCCAGGAGAAGCAGCAGCAACGCCCGCTTGATGTGGTCGTGCCCAAAGATCGACGGTGCGAGCGAGGAGGCGAGCTTGCGGTACACGTCGTCCTGCTTGGCCACAGACTTGATGTGGGCAATGTCGTCCTCCGTCATGACCGGCTGCAGTGAGTTCTTGCCCATCTTCTGCACCGCGTTGGCAATGATGGCGGTCTTGAAGACGCCGTTGGTCGACGAGCCGGCCCGCCCGGCCAGCGCCTGGTAGATGCCCACAATGTGGATGCGGTCGCCCGGCTTGGCCGCGTCCACAAGGTCGCCGTTGAGAACTACAGAGACCGACCGCGGGAGCTGCCCGGCGGGTGCACGCTCCGGCATCTCCTGCACGCCCAGCGTTTGAAAGTCCTTGTACGACGAGAGTCCGTACTCGGTCTCGAGCGGGTTGCCGCGCTCGTCCTTGGTCGGATACACCGACGAGGTCGGCAGATCGTACGGGTCCATGGCATCACGGTACTGCCGCGAGGAGAACTCATTGGTCGCCGGGCAGTAGTGGACCGACTTGACGATCTTGGGCCGGACGAGTGAGACCTTGGTCACAATGCCCTCGAGCATGACCATCTTGTGCAGCAGATGAGCGCCAAGGCCGCGCGGGGTGACATGGTGCAGGCCAAACGAGCCCTCGAACCCGATCCGCACCGGGTGATCCGGGTCAACGTACGACGGCGCTTCCTTGGCCACAATCTCCGCCAGGGCAGCCTCGAACAGGAACAGATACTTTGCCGGCTGAGTGAGAACGTGCTTGGCGAGATGCGGCGAGTGTGCCCGGAGGTCGTTGACCGACACCATAAGCCGCCGCTGGTGCTTCCGCATCATCTCGCGCACCTTGTCCATGTACACTCCCTGACCTGCCTGTATGACCTCTCCCGATTGTCACCGCTGACTGTGAGTCTCTCCCCTCCTCACGCTATCCCCACACCCCCGTACACCCCATGCCTCCCACCACCCAAAAAATAAAGGCTGTCGCTCAAATCTATTGATCACTCTCTCAACAAACAATCGTTGGCGAATGTCCCACACCACCGGCCACAACTCCCGACAAGCCACCCGCTGGAGCACCCCATCCCACGACTTGGGAGTGCAGGGGAGGGGAGCTCAGGGGAGCGGCGGAGGAGGGTACAGGGAGGAGAGGAAGGGCAGGGTTTGCAGGAGAGAACGTACATCTGCGTCAAGGAACTCATAGAACTGAGACTTGATGGCCACGTCCTCCGCGTCCATGGCCGAGGGAATGGAGAGAGACGGTCGGTTGCGAGGCGTCAATCGGTTGGTCGGGAACGGGAGGTGAGCTGGCCAACGATTGGGGCAACGAGAGTTTGATTGATTGTGGCAACGATTGGGGCAACGAGAGTTTGATTGATTGTGGGTGGCCAACGATTGGGGCAACGAGAGTTTGATTGATCGTGGCAACGATTGGGGCAACGAGAGTTTGATTGATTGTGGCAACGATTGGGGCAACGAGAGTTTGATTGATTGTGGGTGGCCAACGATTGGGGCAACGAGAGTTTGATTGATCGTGGCAACGATTGGGGCAACGAGAGTTTGATTGATTGTGGGTGGCCAACGATTGGGGCAACGAGTGCCAGAGCGACTACCATCATCATCACCAACACCATCGCCATCGCCATCACCACCGTCACGATCACCTCTACCTCCTCCTGCAACCCTACCTCCTCCTCCTCCTCCTCCTCCTTCTCCACCACCATCCATCCCCATACCGTGCCCTCTCCGATCAAGGGGCAAGCCGGTCCCAGCCTCGGCCACTCGACGCGACACCACTCGCGTAGCGATGCATGCACTCCGGGCGGTGTGCCGTAGCCATGCCGTAGCACCTGCTCGAGCGGCACATACGGTGGCGGTGGCTTTTGGGGCTGGCGAGTGCGGACAGTGCCTGGTGCCTCCAGGTGAGGCGCCGGCTTCGCCGAGGACCATGGCCGGCGGGCTATCTCTCGATGTGCCGGATCTGGTGGCCATCACCGACAACGTGCTTGATCTGGCTGCTGCTCCACTAGCTGATGCTGACATCCTGGCCGCTGGCGGTGTGGCGACCCTGGCCGTCGATGTCCACGCTCGGCTGGTGCTCTCCGGCCACGATGGGGTCCTGGGCCGCAAGATCATGGCCCTCCCGCCAGGTGGTGCTGCCGGCGTTCTGGCCGCAGATCTCGGCCGGTGCCACGGGGCGGTCCTGCTGGCCCACGACGTGGCCAAGATTACCGTCTTTAGCTCTGTCACCGGCCTCATGGCCTCGCCGCTGGTCCCGGACGCATCAGAGCCTCCAGCGCTGGTCGACCTCGCCTGTGGCCTGGACCATACCCTTGCGCTCGACGTCGATGGTCGGGTCTGGGCTGCCGGGCGGAACACCGATGGCCAGCTCGGAGTGCCTACCTCGGGCCCATCGTCGGGCCCTGTTCTGCATCACGTCCCACTTCCGCTGCCTGCCCGGTCCATCGCCGCCGGCGGCGACGTCTCGGGCGCAGTCCTCGCCAACGGCGACGTCTACCTGTGGGGCAACGACGAGTACGGCCAAGTGCTCACCGGCGAGCGCCTGTTTGCCGTCGGCGAGCCACGCCACGCTACCAAGCTCCCTGCCCATGTTGCCTCGCTCGCTCTCGGCGTTCATCACGGCGTCGCCGTCACCGACGATGGCATGGCCTTTACCTGGGGCTGGGGCGGGACGCCTATCGACTCGCTCGCCGACGCCGAGCGCGTCTCTGTGGGCGTCACCCATCTCGAAAGCCTTTCAGACGTCCACACTGCCGCCGCTGGCGACCACGTCTCGGTCTTTGTCACCGGATCTAGTCACATGCATGCCTACGGCCTCTGGGGCTCGGCCGCCCACTGGGAGACACCGACCGGCGAGCTCGTCCTCGCCGACCAGCGAACTCCAATCGCCCTCGCCGACGTGGCTGCCCGCATCGACGACGGCGCCGTCTGGCAGAACCTCATCTTGGGTGACGGCCACGGCTTTGCCACCTTTGCCACGCCAAGCGCCGCCCGTAGCTAGTCAACGTACAGCTTGTGCAGCGCATCGAGAGGCTCAGCCGTCGGCAGCGCCGCCCGGGTCACCGGACACACCCCACACGCCGAGAGCGCCTCACTCCCACAGGTAAAGCAAACGACATACCCCGTCCGCACAAACGAGGGGTTCGCCGGCGGCACCGCACCGCAGATGGCGCACCCGCCGCGAGCAACGTCCTCGGTCCCAGCCGGCGGTGGCGGCGGCGCAGGAACCGGCAGCGGCGCGGCATTGGTCTCGTCGCGTGAGCTCCACCACGAGACCATGCGGTGGCCGAGGACCGAGGCCGGAAACGCGTACTTGAGCGCATCGAGAGCGGCGACAAGGGCCGACGGTGCGTACGCTGCTACCGCTGACGGCAGGATGAGCGACGAGAGCGAGAGCGAGGCCTCGAGCTCGGCGGCCGACGAGCGGACCAGCTGCTGGCCGAGAAGATGCAGGACAGGCGAGGCATAGTCGGTCATCTTGTTGAGGTACAGCACCTCGTACAACATGAACGCCAGCACGTACACAGCATGTAGCGCCGGATAGATCGCCACCACCGCCTGCCGGCCCATCCGCCGCCATGCCACTCGCACCATCCACATCAGCCACCGCCAGCTCGCCTCCCGTCGCGCCCACACCTCGTCCACGTCCGGACCGACCTCTGCGGCACGCTCCGGCAGGTGAGACCCATCCTGCACCACCTCGTCTTCGATCTGCCAGGCCTCAAGCCCGGAGATCTCTGCTGGCGCAACCACGCCACGGACGTCCTCGTACCACTCGTCAGCGGCAGCCTTGACGATGGGCAGGGCGATGTCGATGAGCGCAGCGAGGATGCGGGCGATGAGCGAGAGCGATCTGTCTGAGCAACTCGCATCAGCTGATCGTCTTCTCATTCCATAAAAAGATTCGGCAAAGGAGCCGTGGTGAAGAACCATGTGATGGCTCTCGATGAGCGCCCGGAGAGCCCATGCCGCGTATCGCCGTCTGCCCACCAGTGCCTCCACCCCGGCCACCCGTCCGCCCGTCGCCGACGAGACCTTGCCCGACACGTAGTCCACAGCCCACGCGCACCCCGCAGGAAGCGTCGTGCTCAGAGCACGCTGCGCCCACACTTCAAACACGGTGGGGCGGATCATAGCGGTGGAGTCAAGGGTGTGGGAGGGCGTGAGGTGGCGTGAGGTGGGTGAGGGCGGCGAGGCGTGGGGGAGAGGAGGGATCAGGCCGGGCGCAGGGCACGAGCAGGACTGGTCGGGCAGAAGGGGATCGGGCTGGTGATGGGTCAGGGGCAGAGGGGGGATCGGGTCTGGTGATGGGTCAGGGGCAGAGAGGGGATCGGGTCTGGTGATGGGTCAGGGGCAGAGAGGGGATCGGGTCTGGTGATGGGTCAGGGGCAGAGAGGGGATCGGGTCTGGTGATGAGTCAGGGGCAGAGAGGGGATCGGGCTGGTGATGGGTCAGGGGCAGAGGGGGGATCGGGTCTGGTGATGGGTCAGGGGCAGAGGGGGGATCGGGTCTGGTGATGGGTCAGGGGCAGAGAGGGGATCGGGTCTGGTGATGAGTCAGGGGCAGAGAGGGGATCGGGCTGGTGATGGGTCAGGGGCAGAGAGGGGATCGGGTCTGGTGATGGGTCAGGGGCAGAGAGGGGATCGGGTCTGGTGATGGGTCAGGGGCAGAGAGGGGATCGGGTCTGGTGATGAGTCAGGGGCAGAGAGGGGATCGGGTCTGGTGATGGGTCAGGGGCAGAGAGGGGATCGGGTCTGGTGATGAGTCAGGGGCAGAGAGGGGATCGGGTCTGGTGATGAGTCAGGGGCAGAGAGGGGATCGGGTCTGGTGATGAGTCAGGTGCAGAGAGGGGATCGGGTCTGGTGATGAGTCAGGGGCAGAGAGGGGATCGGGTCTGGTGATGGGTCAGGGGCAAAGAGGGATCGAGTTATGCGACCAACGAGAGATCAGATGCTAAGCACAGAGCAACCAAGCCCCGCGTCATCCCCCCATCCCCCCCCCGCACGCCAAGTACACAATTCCCATGACAATGTGCAAAAAGGACATTGGCCACGAGACGGCGGGAGAGCCTCTGCCGTCACACACGCCTCCCCCCACCCAACACAGGCCACACACACCCACCACACACCTCCCCTCCCCACCAAGGGAAGCCTCATACATTTCTGTCTCAGGTCACGTGACTTCCTCTGGTGGGAAGGGCTGTGCTGACCAGGACTGACTGCTTTGACTGTGAAGGGGAGGGGGCGGAAAGGGTCCGTCTGGCCGTGCTAACCCGACATGGCTCTGTTCAACCGGAGACTACGACGAGTTACCACCTTGTCAACCATCTCTACCAGCCCATCATCAAATGGTGCTGAGAGTGCTGGATCACCCTCAGCTGAGGGAAGCAGGAATGATCAAGACGGAAGAAGACAAGGGAATACCCATGGCTTGCTACACGGCTCATCGTCGTCCTCGTCATCGAATGTGACGTCGATTCCGCTATCTACGGCCGCTGCTGGGGCTGGGACGGGGGCTGGGGCTGGGACGGGGGCTGGGGCTCGGGCTGGGGCTGCATCGTTTGTCTCGTCGCCATCGTCGTCGCCATCAGCGTCTTCGCGCAGACGGATCGGAGCAAGGAGAATCACAACGGCGTCGGGTGTAGAGGTGGAGAGAGACATTCTGAACGCATCAACGTCCAGCGCCGAGATCAGGGCCGTTGCCGCAGCGAGAATGATGGAAGCTGGGGATAAGAGGGGCTTGGATGGCGAGTTCCAAGGTGATCGAGATGGGCAAGAAGTCGATGATGTCGAAATCGACGTCGCACGCCGGGCTCTGACTCCGACCGGCCACGGTTGCCTTCTCCCCGCCGACTGGTTCCAGCAGTGGATGGCCCATGTCGGTCGCTGCGGGCCGCCGCCACCGCCGGTCAGCACTGCACCGCTTCTTTCGCATGTGGCGGCGTCGGTACCGCACGCGCGTGTAGTCTCGTTTGAGGCTTGGGACTACGTGGTGGCCAAGTACGGCGGCGGCCCGCGAATTGTGCGGGCTCCGCTTGACCCCATGCTCTCGCGGCGGCGCATGCGCCAACGAGCAGTAGCGCTGCCATCGAAGCAGAGCAAGCGCGCCCTGCTCTCAGCCCGGTCGGCCATCCAGCGGTCACGGTCGCTGGAGCCGAGCGCGAGCCCGTCCATCGCGACCGCCAATCCCGAGCCGTCACCTCCGCGCCGCCTACCGGCGCAAGCAGCACTCCCTGTAACGATCACCTTTGTTGCATTTGGCAAGGCAGAGCGCTCGGCTACCGATTCGCCATGGGCGCTGCTAGAGTCGGTGCCTGTTGATCGCGATAGCACAACACCTGCGAGTCCACTGTGGACCGTAATGTTTGTGCTCTCTGCAGCGACAGTTGCCTCGGCCATCCCGGCCATCCTCGCCGAGCACGCCCTGCACACCTCGGCGCTGCACTTTTCACTCTGGCGAGTGGCAAGCAAGTCAAACGAGCTTGCTCCGCTTGTGCTGCGAAGCACCGACAACGCCCCGCTGATGGTGTCGGATCTCGACGGCGTCACAATTGTGGTCGCCGGAAGTGAGGCCGAGCAGGCAACGGTGGCCAGAGTCTGGGCAAAGTGGTGCACAGTGCGGGCGCAACGAGTCTCACCGGCCAACTCGCTGCAAGTCACGCTGCCTGCAGTCCACCTAGGAGCCTTCTCGGCCGAGCCGATCAGCGGGCTGGCGTCGCTGGCGCTGCTCGAGGACAGCGTTCCTCCATGCGTCTTTCTGGCGCTGCTGAGGACAGCGTCGTCGGCGACATTCTCGGACGCGCTAGTGTACGAAGTCAACACGGCACAGGCGTCTGCAGCACTTGCGTGGTTGTTGCGCCTCGGGCTCGAGCCCGCCAACAGCGCCCTGCTTGCGCAGCTTGTCACCCGCTTCGCCTCTCCCGGTTTGCGGTTCTCTTTGACGACACTGTCCCGCTCATGACTGCCGAGCTGGCATGCATGGTCATCGAGCTGCTCACCCGCAAAGTGCCTGTGCTTGGTGGCCAAGCTGCGGCGCTGTCGCTACTGCCAAGCGCGCGACGGCTGCATCTCTTTCTTCTCAAGCCCAAGGTGCTGTCGGATCCCGAAACCGCGTTTGGCGCTGTATACACTCCGTGCTATGTCCTCCACGACTCGACGCAGGCCTTGCTTGAGACGATGCAGCTGTCGGACGGGCGGACTGCGTTGCAGGCCTTTATGGATCTGATCGAAAGGCCTGCGCCGGCTGTGACCCCGGTCCGCCCGCGGGCCGCATCGCACCACGGCGGGCGTAACCCGGGCTCGCCGCGGATCCCCGACGCCGGCCTAGTGGATCTGGTGTCTCGGATCACCGCCAAGTACGCCGCGCTCTCACAGTATTTTGCAGCCTCGGCGGCGGCGCGCGACGACGACGCCGCAGGCGCGGCGCGGGCGGTGCTCGAGACGGTCACCTTCCAGAAGGAGCTTGTCACTCTCTGCGCTCTCCTTGAGTCGCTCCTTCGCGACATGGTGCATCTGCCGCTGCTCGACACGCTGGCAGCGCAGCTCCCGGCGGTCCTCCACGAGCTGGCGGTCGACGTTGTCTCGTCGAACACTTACGTCGGAGTGGTGGGCGTGATGAATGCCGGCAAGTCGTCGACCATCTCGGGCCTGGTCGGCGCCGACGTGGTGCCGTCGCGAGCAACAGCCATGACTGTCCTCCCTACCCTTATCACACACGACCCGACCAAGCATGAGCCTACCCTCCGGCTGCCGGCATCGTGTGTTGAGACGCTGCGAATGCTGGTGATCCAACTGAGGGCGGCGCTCTTCGCACCGGGCGCCGCCGCGTTTGAGGACCTCGACATGGGCGCGTCGTCGTCGCTGGTGACCGAGTTGACGGCGCCAGCAGGCACGCCGGGTGCCGCGCTCGGTTGGTTTGACAGCTACGCCGGCGAGTACACCGTGGCCGGCGAGGCTGCCATCAACGCGACGCTTGTCAAGGTCAACGACATTTTTCGTGCTGGCGCCCGGGCCGGCATTCTCGACCAGGTGGTCAAGATCACATCGGGCGCCGCCAGTGAGGCGCCGCCGCCGCAGAGCGACTTGTCGTCGTCGCCGGGCCCGCGCCCGCTCGCGCTTGTTGACCTCCCGCAAATTCTGGTTTGCTTTGCCTCGCTGGTGGTGGGTGAGAGCGAGGGCAGCGGCGAGTTTGGTGGCGTTGACGAGGGCGATGTCGGGGCATTCCGTGAGCGCGGCGACTCGTCGTGCTCCTCGATCGGAATATCGCTCTCGGACTCGGACGACGAGGATGAAGGGGAGGAAGCCGACGTGCCTTGCCACGCTGAGGTCGAGGTCAAGATCGAGACAGAGACCGAAGACCAGGTCGAGGTCGAGAGCAGCAGAGAGGCCGAGGCCGACGTGCGGGCACTGCTGGCACTCTCAGGCACGCTCTCGTTCATCGACTCGCCCGGGCCAAACGAGATGGACATGCCTGTACTGTCTGCGTTTGTGGAGGGCATTTTGCAGCAGGCGTCTGTGGTTGCGCTGGTGCTCGACTTTGCGAGCCTCAACGGGACAGCCGAGGCTGAGTTGCAGGACAAGGTGTCTTCGGTGCTGTCTGTGCTCAAGCAGGACGCCTTTGTGTTTGTCAACAAGTTTGACCAGCGGAACGAGGCGTCCGGACAAGATCTAGACGAGGCTGGGGTGCGGCAGTATGTGGCGCAGTCGGTGACTGCGGCGCTGGCGTCGTGCAGCGTGCCTCCATCGCGGGTCTTTCCGGTCTCGGCCAAGTACGCCCAGCTTGCGAACCACGCGCGGAACTACGCGCGGAGCCACCCGTGGCAGGTGCCTGCAGCGGCGGACGAGCCGTGGGTGGAGGCGTTTGCGCGAATTGCGTATGGCGAGACATGGGACGCGCCGCACAATTACCCGCGGATGGTGGAGCGCGGCGAGGTGGAAGCGTTCCGGATGGGAACGCGGGCAGTGTACGCGGCGTCGCGGCTCGAGGCGCCACTCGAGTCGATGCTCCAGTACTGCTACGCGAACGCGACGACCATTGCGCTTCGGGCGTCTCTGGCCAAGCTGGTGCAACATGTGGCGCTCCCGCTCCGGGCGCGCCTGGTGGATGAGCTGGCGGTGTGCTCGACGTCACTGGCGTCGCTGCAGACGTTCCTGGTCGTCTCCGAGGTCAACCACGAGCAGATCAACGAAGCGCTAGGCAAGGTCCTGGAGGCCGGCGGGCAGATCGTGGTTTCGCAGCTGGACAAGAGCCTCGGCGTCTTTCTCACGCAGCTCGACAATGTGTTTACGCCTGGCGGGCAGCGGCTGTTTGCCATGTGGTGCTCTGTGCGAAGCGAATGGGTGCGGCAGCTGCCGCAGGCGCCGACGTCGCTGGTGGTGATGATGGAGCACGTGTTTGACTTTGAGACGAACGACGAGGTGCTCGGCGGCAGCAGCGAGAGCGAGAGCGAGAATGAGGGCTCGGTGACGCAGTGTGTGCTGTCGTCGGGCCAGTTTGTGTTTGAGACCAAGGATGCGGCGCTCGACTGGCTGGACGAGGTGGCGGTTCTGTTTGAGCTCGCGCTCCAGTCTGCGCGCAACGACATGGTGGCCGAGCTGGTGGCGGTGACAAAGCCAGTCTCTGTCCAGCTGAAGGCGCTTGTGGAGAAGCATCTTGCACCACTACTTGCACAGTATCGGATCATGGTCTCGGAGCTGCTCGACGTGTCGGTGGCCTTTCCGGAGCTCGGGCTGGAGCCAGACGCGCTGCAGACCTCGCTCGAGCTGCTGTCATCGGGGAGAGGCGGCGGAAGCAGTAACGACGACGACAACAACAGCGAGGCGGGTCACTTTTGCCAGCGGAGCGAGCTGCTGGAGGAGCGGACGTCGCGATCGCTCGGCTTCTCCTGGTCGCTCAAAAAGGCGGTCAAGGTCAAGTCGAAGAGCCGGTGGTGCGTGTCCAAGGATGCGCTGCAAGCGTACTTTTGCCGGCAGATGGATGGAGCGCTCCGGGAGCTTGTTTTGGCTGCGGAGCAGCACTGTGCGTCTGCACTGACGGCGATGCTAGCATCGTACGCAAGTGCGGTGTCAGATGTCCTCGCTTCTCTGCTGTCGTCGATCCAGGCGGCAGCCGACCGCAAACTTATCTCGCGCGAGGCGTCACTTGCCGAGGCCGCAGCGGCCGAGGACGGGATCTGGCGGCTGAATGAGTTCTGGGTCCGGGCGCAGTCACTGATCAACATGCTTGAGTTTGACGCCGAGATCCCAGCCTCGTCCGAGGCCTCGCTGTCGTCGCTCATCGACCTCGACGTCCTCCTCGTGCCGCCAATCCACTCGGAGCTCTGCCCGCTCAGCTCCGACTACTCCGAGGTGGATGACGTGTTTGTCGACTCTGCAATCACGCAAGCGGTGTGACAATGACAATGATGGGTGTTAATGAATACGGCTGCTGTAAACGAGCAAAGGCAGAAGTAGGTGAGTAGATGAAGAAGAGGAAGCGAGGCAAGGAGGAGGGGAAATCAAGAACTCCGATTCTATGGATAGTGAGAAAATGTCCTCATGTCGCCACAGCATTGACGTGGACGGCGTTAGGGTATGTTCGAGGAACAGAGTTATCATCATCGTCTTGATGTGCGGCCAGGGGGGCGGGAGAGGAAGAGAGTGATGGACGTACGCGTTGAAGGGGGTGAGGGAGTTGGGGAGGAAGTGAAGGGAATACGAAGAGGGGATCTGTGATGATCAGTGAGAGAGTGAGTTGGATGATGGATTGGGGATGTAGAGGGAAGGGGGGGGAGGGGGGGAAGAGAGAGCGAGGGAGGGGGGTGATCGAGCTCAGATTCGTCATCTATTTGTCAGCATAGGTGGACGAGGCAAGAGAAGGCGAACCAGAAGCACGGGCTCATAAAACATGAGTACCACAAGCAGAACTCCCAAAGGGAGATCTGCCCGCTCCTGGATCACCTTCTCCGCCAGTCGTCCGGTTCAGACAAATGCCTCGGATGATCATCAACGCAGCGAACGTAGAAATGGCAGCGGAAAGAGATAGGAAGAGGGTGGACATACCTGTGGACATCGGGATCACATCGGGATAACGATCGGAGGAGGAGAGAGGGAGGGAGAGGGAGATCGGCTGAGAGAGGGGTAAGTGGGTGGGAGAGAGGGGAAGGGGAGGGAGGGATGGGGGGCAGGGAAGCAAGAGAGAGAGAATGAGATTGTGCCTCGGGATTCGAATTTCTAGTTGACTGACATGGAGAGGTTCCAGAACAAGTTCGTCGTCATGGGCAAGGGGTGATGCGGGGGGTGATGGGGGGAGGGGAGGAGGAGAGAGGGGGAGGGGGGGGGGTCTTGGGCACGTGAGAGCGTACCAAGACGACGGACCGAGTCGAAAGAGTCGGTGATTTGAGGGGAGGAGGGGGGCGGAGAGGGGATACGGTATGTAGAGACACCGGCGAGAGAGAGAGGGTGTAGAGAGTGTCAGGAGGGGGTCGGAGGGGTCGGAGGGGTTGGAAGGGGGTGGGGGTCAGGCCATGGCTGTGTACGAGGGGGGAGTGTGGGAAAAGGGTGTGAGTATTTTTTGTGGGATTAACACAATTGTATGACGGGGGAGAAGAAGACGGGGGAGAAGAAGAAGGGGGAGGGGGATAGAGATGATGTGGGGGGTAAAGGGCCAAAATGGATACAACAAGAAGGTTCAGTACAGGTGCCAGAAGCATGTTAGTCCGCATGGGGGTACTCCCGCATAGGAACAGGTCTATGATTCGTTCATCATTACGTCCTTGTTGCAACCATGGGTGGCTGTGCAATTTTGAGGCTGTGTGATTGTTATCGTACCAATATCAAAAAAAAGGGGGGGAAAGGAAGGGGAAGGTGAGAGAGGTGGATACGTCGAGCACTGTACACAGCTGTGTGGTTGGCTAGGGTGAGAGGGCTGCAATCGGGTCGATCCGATCGGACTTTGCCATGCGATCGGGTTTGGGAGAAGGAGGGGGGAGGGGGGGGGAGTGTATAGAGTGCATAGGGATGGCTAGACAGAGCACGATGGCCATGGTTGGAATGAGGAGGGAAAGGGTGAATGAGGGAATGATGGCCGTAGGTAGGTACGACATGGACCATGATCATCACGACAGCGAGGTGATCAGCACGGTCAAGTGTTAGGTGATCGGCAAGGCAAGGAGGATCTACGGCTTGAAAGTCATTTGCCCGTGACCGGAGAGGACTGATCGCAGTGTAGCAGTAGCAGTAGCAGCATCAGCATCAGCTCCGCCACCACCAACCAACCGCTCAGCCAGCCCGCCCGCCAACCGCTCAACCAGCCCAACTAGCTAGCTGACTGACCACCACCGGACGACGAGCCGACGAGCCGACGAGCCAAGGAGAGGCCGAGCCGTGCAGGCAGCAACACACTGCACTGGATGAGCTCACTGTACGTGCCCTGCCCTCCCCCCCCCCTCCCCCCCCTTTCCCCCCCCCCCCTACTCACTCACTATTCATATGGTCATGGGGTTGGACAGGTACGGGCGGCGCGGGTCGGTGGTCTGCTTGACGACAAGTCGGCCTCTGGTCCAGGGAGCGCAGGCAGGGGTGGTCAAGCCGCTACGGTCATCTCCGGAAGCAGATGTGTGTGGAGGAGGAAAAGCTGTGGGTGGGACGTTTGCCACTGCTTCGCCGGCAACCGATCTGTACGTGGGATGCCGTATGAGAAAGCGCGGAAGGGGGGGAGGGGGGGGGGGGACTCATTGTGATGATGATGATGATGATGTGGTGGATGATGTGTTGGCTGGGATGGCAATGGGGCTGGGCGGACACCGACATGGACACCGACACCGACATGGACACCGACACCAACACCGACACCGACACCGACAACCATCAACGCGCACGATCTCCCGACACTGGCGTCCATCTCGCTCTCGCTCGGTCGCTCTCCACGCATACACACATACGTATCGTGCTCACCTCGGATTTCATAGCTCTGCCTTTGCTTCGTTCCAGCCACGCCTGCCATCTAATCCGGCTGTGGCCCGCTATGGTGCCGCGCCGGTGGTCGACTTGGATGCGCTGCCGCCGACACCGCGACGGGTGGTGAACAAGACCCCGATGGCCTCATCGTTTCTATCGTTCAACACACCAGCTCGAGCGGCCGACTCGTGTGACTCGTCGATCTCGTCCATTCCAGACCTCGATCGATCGTACGACGCATCGATGGAGGTCTCGTTTGCCGCCGCTGCCGCTGCCCCGCCACCGTCGACCGGCAAGAAGCGCCGCAAGCGCAAGGCCGTCGCCTCGAGATTCCGCTCAGCCTCGCGCAAGCAAGCGGCGCGAAAGGCCAGCCCGCGCGCCGGCCAGCCACGGTCGTCGGTCAAGAAGAGCCGTCGTAAGCAGGCAACCAAGCCGGTAAGTAGGCCAGCGCCGGCGGCACTGCCTGTGGCCTCCTCGCCGACAAGACATACTCCATCAGGCTTGCGGGTCATGCGCCGCCCTGCTGCGGCCGAGACGCCGGCAGACCGGGCGGCGGCGCTTGCAGCCTTCCGCGCTGCACGGAGCACCAGCCGCAAAGCCAAGCCCGTGGCGTCGCGGTTCCGCAACTCGACAAAACGGTCGGCTGCGGCGGCTCCCGCTGCGCCTGCGCCGGCCGCGCCGGCCACGCCGTCGATGGCCGCCACCAAGCGGGTCCTCAACTTTGCATCGACCGGCAAGCGGCGGGCTGCGCCCAAGTCGGCTGCACGCCAGGACGCTGCCCGCGCTCGTCCCACACCACAGTCATCGATCCGCAACGAGGCTGCTCGCAACCGCGCATCGCGAGTCGGTGCCACCGCCAAGCGCGAGCTCGACCTCCTCGCCTCGACCGAGCTCCATTGGCACTTTGTCCTTGCCAAGCTGGAGGCCGCGCGGCGCGTGCAGCAAGTCGAGGCGTTCGAGACTGTTGTCGCGCTGCAGGCAGCCCTCGACCGGGCACGCGAGCTCGCCGCCGCCCGCCGCGCCGCCCTCAGCCAGCTCGCCGCCCTCGACCGGGTCCAGAACGTCGTCGCCGCTGCCCGCGGCCCAGCCCTCGCGGTCAGCCGAAAGCTCCCCGCCCTTGAGGCTGCATATAGTGAGATCGGCACCGCCATCGCACACACCACCGCGCACATGCCGCTCGAACAGGTGGCAGTCGACGAGGCGTCGCTCAGCCGCGCGCTCGGAGACGCCCGGCACGAACTCGATGTTGTCGTCCGCGGCCTCGCTCCCGCTGCGCCTATCGCCCGCAGCGTCGCGACCTCGCTTGAGAAACTCGCGGGTGCAACAACCAGCGAGCTTGCCGCCCTCGCGCAGTCGCTACGGGTCCTGCGGCAGGCGCAGACACTGCACTCGCGCGAGGCGTCGCTAGCAGTCCACGTGGCGGACATGATGGCGACGGTGTAAACGACGATGGTGACCAGGAACGGACCGAGGACAGAGGGAAGAGGGAAGAGGGATTTGAAGATCAAGGTGGTTTTTGTTTCCTACGTTTATGGCTTAGAACAGGTTCTCGTAGGCGAGCGGAGCGATGTCCTCGACCTCGGCAATGTCGGTCTTGACGGTGAAGCCCTCGCGCGGGCCGGCGGGCTGGCGCTTGGGGTGGGCCTTCTCGCCACGGGCCTTGGCCGCCGAGGTGATGCGGGCGTTCTCCTTGACGCGGTTGACAAACTCGTCACGGCACTTGGACGGCTTGATGTGCTCAATGCGGACCGAGATCTTCTTGCGGAGGATGCGGTTGCGGACGAGCTTGTTGACGATGACACCGACGCCACGCTTGTCGACGTTGAAGACGCGGCCAGTGCGGCCATGGTAGAACTTGTGCGCCATACCCTTGTGCTGGGCAGCGTTGACCTTGATGTCGACGAAGTCGCCGATCTTGTACTGCTGAAGGTACGTCTTGAGGCCGATGTTGCCGTGCTTGCGGAAGCCACGCGAGAACATGTGGCGGGTGCCCATGCGGTAACCACGGTGGTGCGGCATCTTTGATTACTGTCCTCTTGTGTCAGTCCCATGTCTGCCTCAACACCCATGCCCATGCCCATGCCCATGCCTATGCCCATACCCATGCCCGAGCCCTTCCACTCAAACACAAACAAAGATTGGCATCCGCCACCCGGAGGGCACAGGCCCATTCTACCTGCTCGGCCAACCGCATACTCTCACCAACAGAGCCGAAACTTGGCATGGAGTGTAACCATGGTATGTTTTTGCTTCTGTCCGTGTGGGTAGTCCCTAATCGCCCGCTATCGTATATGCGGGTGCGGTGACGGTGTGTGGTCGTCCGGCAGTGGTCACAAATTCATCACCAAGCCGGCGGCCGGCAGGGCAACAACAAGAGGCTGGTATGTACGCATGGGGCGAGTGGCGAGAATGGGAAAGCAGCTACGGGGTATGCCTAGGTATATACTAGCAGTGTGCAGAGTATGGGTATCTGGGGAGAACGCATGCTCACACTAGTGCCCCTCGCATAGGCCACACTACCCAAGTCGACGTACGATTTGTGAGAAGGGTGCAGAGCCGTTCGTCGTTCTTAACTCCCCAACACTTTCGCCAAGGTCATGGCCTCGACCGACACTTTTTCGACTCTGAACGAAACGAGCGCGGCGAGTATTGGCTTGAGTGCGGTTGTTGTGTGATGGAGCTCAATGACCGAGCACCACCGGGAGTAACCCAACAGCATCACCAGGTGTAACAGCCAGACTGCCACCACATCGATCGCCATCACTAACTGATGGCCGATGACCATCACCAACACATGGCAGCAAGATCAGTGACCATCACCAACATGGCAACCACACCCGTCTCCATCACCAACACATGGCAACCACATCAATCACCATCACGAGCCCATGGCAACCAAACCGTCTCCATCACCAGCAATCGCAGCCGATCGACACTGCCACACCGTCTCCATCACCCACTCACATCATCATGGCATGATGCTCACGACATCGGCATACAGAACGCCGGCTGACTGACCAACACTACGAGTTCGAGCACGAGTTGGCTGGCGTGATGAGGGGAAAGAACTCAATGTTGGCCGCCGCAGCGATCTCATCAACGTCGCTGATGGTCGCATCGTCGTGGCGGGTGGCGAGCTAGCGGCGAGTCCTGGCGACCATCTCACTCACAGACGCGTGGAGGGAGCCTGAGGAGGAAGCAGAAGCGGAAGCATAGCAGAAGAAGTCATGATGCGTGTAGGAGTCATCGGAGCTGGTGCTGCAGGGCTAGCGGTCGTCCGTGCGCTAACTGGACCAGAAGTGACTGGCGCTGCCGTCAAGGTCGTCGCCTGGGAACAGGCGCCACAGGTCGGCGGGACGTGGGTCTTTGATCCGGAGCCGATCGAGGCGAGGCAGGGCACTGAGCTCATAACGGGTACAGGGACTGGTGCCGCTGGTGCTGGGCAGGGATCGAGCATTGTGCAGGAATCGGAATCCGGCACTGTGCAGGGATTGGGATCGGCATCGGGATCGGGTGCTGCAGGTGCAGCTGTTGTTGCTGCCGGACAGAGGGGATGGCCGGCAGGATCGGCGCTGTATGCATCACTGCGGACGAATCTGCCCAAGGAAGTTATGGCCTTTGACGAGATGGCGTTCCCGGATGAGGCACCGTCATTTATGCATCACACCGAGGTGGGCGCGTATCTGGAGAGCTACGCCGATCGGTTTGGCCTCCTCGAGCACGTGCAGACATGCACCCGAGTGGAGGACGCAGTGTTTGATGTCGAGGCTGGTGTGTGGCGGGTAACGACGTTGAAGCGCGAGAGCGGCGAGGCTGAGTCCCAGATCGAGACCGAGGTCGATGCGCTGGTGGTGGCGACGGGCCACTTCTCAGAGCCCAAGTGGCCGACCGAGGTGGCGTGGGAGCGGTTCCGCGGACGGGTCATCCACTCGCACACGTACCGGTCGCCCGAGGCCTGGGCTGGATCGCGGGTCCTCGTCCTTGGCGCCGGGCCGTCGGGCATCGACATAGCGCGCGAGCTGGCGACGGTGGCCAAGACAGTCATCCTCTCGCACCGGCGAGCGAGCGAGCCAGGAGCTGGTGCACAGCTCGCCGACTCGGTGCGTCTTCCCGGGGTCATCGAGGCGCCGGTTCTCCGCGGGTTCAGCGATGATGGGCGGGCGGCGGCGTTCGACGACGGCCTTGTGGCCGAGATCGATGCCGTCGTGGTGTGCACGGGTTACCGCTACGTGTTTCCCTTCCTCCGCCGCAGTGACCGCGCCAGCAGTGTCACAGTCATCGATGAGGCCCGAGTCGAGCCACTCTACGAGCACCTTTGGCATACCCACCTCGGCGAGAAGCTCGCCTTTGTGGGTATTCCATTCAAGGTCATCCCATTCCCGCTATTCGAGGTCCAGGCCCGCTGGATCGCCGCTGTTGTGGCCGGTCGGGTAACGCTGCCAGACCCACTGGCAAGGGCCGAGGCCGCCGCTGCACAAGACCGCAAACGTGCAGCCCGCGGTGTCCACGCCCGGTACACCCACCGGCTCGAAGAGTGGGACGCATACTGCGCCCGAGTGGCGGGCGTGACCGGACACGAGTGGTCGCCGCACCGCAAGGCCATCTACGACGACGTTGCCGCGCAGCGGGCAGCCGATCCCGAAGGCTACCGCGACGTCGAGTACAGCTCTTGGGTCACGGCATAGCCTAGCTCGAATCGGACGAGTACGAGTAAAGGTAGTCGTACGAGTACGAGTACGGCGGCGAAGCAGAGAGCGAGGCCGAGGGAGTGGTGGGTTGGAGAAGGGCAAGCGTGGGTGCACCAGCCGCCGAGTATCGCCACGATGCGCAAGCACCGAGCCCAATCAGCGAGCAGGGAATGGCAGTGGCGAGGAGGAGAAAAGCAGTGACCGAGGCGATGGCCGGCGACGAGTCAAAGTCCGGATCGTCAGGCGGGAGGCAGGGAGACGGCGAGGCGTAGCAGGAGAAGAGGTAGACGAGGAGAGCAAAGGACATGAGGAGGTAGCACGCAGCAGCAACGAGGGAAGCAGGTGAGACGGTGACGGCGGCATGGGTGAGGAGGAGGGCACCCACAACAAGCGGGCCGCCGACAGAGAGCGCCCCGATCCACCACGGCAGCGGCGCCGGAGCAAGCGGAGCCGAAGTCGATGATGAGGCGGCGGCGGAGACGATGACGGCGTTGACAACGGCGAGGACGACGAGCGAGCCGCCGAGGACAACAAGGGCAGCACGAGTGCGAAGGTAGGAGACTGCGGCTGATGAGACGTCATTCAGCATGGCTGGCGGGAGCGAGGCGGCGAGCGAGGCGGAGGCGGCGGCAGCGCGCGGATTCGGTGCCGAGGCGAGCGGCGGGAGATAGCGAGCGAGCGAGGCATAGAGGGCGGCGGCAGGGGCAGAGAGTACACAGTTGATGGTCCGGTTCGATCGGTAGTGGGCGAGATAGTAGACAACGGGGAGTGCGAGGGCGGCTGCAATGACGATCGGGAGGACAATGGTGTGGAGGGCGGAGGCCATGAGAGGGAGGGAGAGAGCTGTGGCGTTTGATCCGAGGGCGAGATCAGCAGGCTGACTACAACTACAACTACGACTACGATTAGGGACCATGACCATGACTATGACTTGGACTTGGACTTGGACTTGGACTTGTAGGCCCCGCGCGGCTCGATGTCGAGGGAGAGGCGATACATGTCGTCGTCTGTGAGCGGGTGGAGGTCGTGTCGGAGGAAGCGGGCGAGGGCGGGGACTTCGACAAATGAGTACGGCTCGTGCTGGAAGAGCTGGATGCCGCGAATGACTGTGGCGACCTTGCGGAGCTTGGTAAAGTTGATGAGGCGAGGCGAAGGAGCGGCGTCTGCGGCGTCGATGTATGCCGGGAGGCCATCCTCAACAAATGTCAAGTCGGTGAGGAACATGCCGAGGTAGGGGACGGCGGGTGGGTTGGACTTGCGGAGGGCAGCGCGGAGTTGCTTGTAGTTGGAGGCCGAGTTGGTGAGCGCCTCGAGCTTGGCGTAAGCCTTTGCGGCGGACTTGGGCAGGCCGTCCCATGACATCTTGAGGCGGTAGACAGCCGAGGAGTGGAAGCCAGCGAGGATGGCCATGGTCGAGTTGAAGTTGTTGAGCTTGGCGCACTTGCCAGCGACCTTGAGAAAGTAGGCCATGAGCGCCTTGCGCTTCTTGAGCTCGGGCTCGGAGACGATGGCCGAAGCGACCCAACGGGAGACAGTGTTGAACCGGGCTGCGATGGCGGAGATGTTTGGGGCAGCCGAGTTGCCGGCGGCGTCGACACGGGACCACTGCTTGGAGACGCACTCGCGCGGCTCAACGGCGCAAACAGCTCGGCTTCGATGAGGGTCAGCTGACGCGCAAGCTCAAGCGGCGGAATGTCGCGGAGAGCAAGCGCGGCATCGGGGCCTGCCGCGAGTGCGGCGGCGATGTCCAGGTCCGGGTTGGCCTTGAGAACCTTGGGGAGAACCGGCTTGGGTTGCTTGCGGGCAAGCTGAGCGACTGCCGACTCGCGGCCGCTCGCGCGCATGCGCTCGATCTTTGAGACGACAGCGGCGGCGGGGCCGGGCATGCAGGCTGCAAGCGTGTTGCGGGCAAAGGCGATGACGACGTCGCAGAGGCCGTCGTCAGCCTCAAAGTCGTACCAGTGCGTGGAGATCCAAAACTTGAAGGCGTTGAGGACACGAAGGCGGATGGGGACGAGGGTCTGGCGGTAGTGCTCGAGCTTGGCCTCGTCACTCAGTGTGGCGGGGGTGGGCGTGTTGAAGCGGCGGGCCAGGAGCTGGACCAGCTCGCGCGGGGTGGCGAACGACCGAAACGTGAGCATGAAGGTCTGCATGTAGGTCGGGGTCGGGTGGCGCTCGTAGGTGAGACGCTCGACGAGGCGAGCGGGCGAGCCGCCGACAACAGCACCGCCATCATCAAACTTGAGGTCGGGTGCGTCGGACGGATGGGCAGACGGCGACGAAGAGGTCGTGTCGGCGGCGTCGGGATGGGATGCGCCGGTCTCCTTGGCGAGCTTCTTTCGGCGCTTGGCCTCGGCCTTTTGGCGCTTCTTTCTCGCCTTCATGTCCTTTTTGGACAAGTTTGCGTAGTACGACAGATCTTCCTCGTCCATGAGCTGGGAGAGGAAGGCGAGCGCGTCGGCCTGGTCGATCTCGGTGGCCAGCGGGAGAGCGGCGACAACCTTGCCGGGCTCTATGACGGCCGACTCTACCCGGGATGTCCGCTGGTCGACGACGAGCTCCGGCGCCATGACGGCGGCACCATCGGGCGGGCGCTCGTCGTCAGGAGGCGGCGAGGAGGTCGCAGGCGCGAGATCAGAAGCAGGAACAGAGGCAGAGGCGCGGTGGAGCGAGCCGCGCGGACCACTCACACGTCCGGATGAGTTGGACGAGGCCGAGGAGGCGGGCGACTCGTCGGCGCCGCGGACCTTGAAGGCGGAACGCGCGTGTTCACGGCAGTAGAGGAGCGAGTCGCGCTCAAAGTAAGCTTGCGAGACATCAACACCGCACGTGACGCAGGCCATGCAGTCCGAGTGATAGAACCATTCATCGTTGTGGATGGAGAAGAAAGATGGGTCTGTGATGAGCTGTTGACAAGTGGAGCAGGTTCTTGGGAGGGTGACCACCACGGGAGCCGCGAGCGATGTACATGAGAGGCAATGAGGAGCAGATGGCTGACCTGAGAAGGTATCAGCATCAGCAATGGGAGCATGACAAGTAGTACAGGTAAAGCAGTCTAGATGGAAGACCAGTTGACCGATTTCCATGTGCTCTTCAGCAGCCTCTACACTCTCTCCACACTTGTCACACTTGAGCCGAGCACAATCAAGACAGATCGGTGCCCGAGTTGTACCATTACCACCAGTAGCAGTGCGGCCACCACCACCAGCAGGACCAGCAGGATCAGAGCCACCAAGACCAACAGCGCCATCACCACTTGCCGAGCCAGAGCATATCGACGGACCGAGGACGTACTTGCCTAAGCATGGCGGGAGGGGTGAGAGCT